GGATCATCCGGGAGGGCCCCCGGCGAGCGCGCAGGCCGGCCTCGGAGAGGCGCGCGAGGAACCCCGCGAAGGCCTCCCAGTAGGCGTCGCCTGGCAGAGCGCCCAGCGGCCCCGGCCTCCGACGCCGTGGTCTTCTCGAGACGTGGCCGCCCCAGAACGAGTCCTCGCTCCCCGACCCCCCGGCCCTCCCTCGACCCTCGATCCCATCGTCCTCGACCTCGCCTCGACCCCCGGATCGTGGCGATTGAGGATGGAGCCGGCCCAGGCATCTGATGCCGTGATTCGTTTCGCAGCTTTGCGCCGCCAAGCGTGTCCCTGGCTCAAACTGTTGATTGCGAGCGACGCGGAGACAGCCGCGCATCGTCAAAGGGTCGAACAGCACAGGGCCAAGGCGTACAGCCCAAATGTCGCCAGCGAAGCGCAGGAAAAGAAGGCCACGATGGTGGCGAAAACTACCAGGTGATGCGAAGCGGCAACGCGGCAGGGGCGAGGGCTAACGACCCTGGCTCAAACGCTGTCCCCAGGATTTTCACAGAGGGCTCCACGGTCTTCAGAACACCCCTCACGAGGGCCGCGGGGCCCCGGGGGCTCCGAGATCCGCCGGCCCCAAGAGGGCGTGAGATGAGAAGTGTGTCCTCGAGGCCCACCCCACGAGAACTCCTTTCTTCGAGCTCCCTTACACGATAAATCCTAGCTCGATGCTCGGCGAAACCCCCCTCCCCGCCTCGGCCTCCCCACCCCCGAGTATTCATGTCTTGCGACACCCCCAAGCGACAATTCCTGGGCCGACAAACCCAGCTCCCACGAGAGGTCTGTTCCACGTCCCAGCTTCCCCACCCCATGAGAGCTCAGTTCTGGGAGCCCCCACCGCGCCCACCCACCACGTCTGACACCCGCACCCTCCTGGACCTTCTTCGTGTGCTGTTTTAGACCCCCACGCCCTAACAGGCGCTGGGGCCCCCACCGCGCCTTCCCACCACGTCTGACACCCACATCTTCCTGGATCCTCTGCGTGTGCTGTTTTAGGGACCCGCCAGCCTACAAGAACTAACGCCAGGCCCCCCACCACGTCTGACACCCCCACTCTCCTGAACCTTCTGTGTGCTGCTTTAAGGACCCCCCCGCAAAAACAGGCGCCGGGACCCCCACCGCGCCGCCCCACCACGTCTGACCCCCCCCCAGCTTCCTGCACCCTCTATGCGTGGAGATTGAAGGGCCCCCTACCCTTCAAAAACAAGCGCCGGGACCCCCCACCGCGTCCTTCCAGAACCCCTCTTCCCTTTGGGGAGGGGAATCCTCCCCCCCCCTCCCCTCCCTGAGGTTTTCTTGGATGGATCGCGAGGTGTCCGAAGCTCCTTTTCGGCCATTGGGAGGGCAATTTTCTGCCACCCCTCACGAAGATCGTGGCCCCCGATGGGTGGGACCTTAATCGAGTACCCTCTTTTGACCGACCGCCTCCAAGATGGCCACAAGAGGTCCTCCAGGGCTCCCTGGGGGCTCCCAAGAGGGCCCAAAGAGTGCCCCAAGAAACCCAAGAGGCCTCCAAGAAGCACCAAGAAAGACCCCCAAGAACCTGGCCTCAGAGAGCCCAAGATGACCTCCAAGATGGCTCAAGATAGCCCAAACTGGCTCAAGATGGCTCCCAAGATGCTACAAGCGGCCCCAAGACCGCTCCGAGGCGGCTCGAGATGGCCACGGCGCCTCCCAAGCCTCCCTCGCTGTATGACTATGCGTGTCTCTTCTTCTCTCCCCCCGTCAACTCTCATGGGCATCGTTTCTGGATGGGCTGATGGGGATACGCGGAACATCAAGAATTTAAGACCCCTCTTCTTGAACAGTGTGCCCAACATTGCCTCAAGAGGCCTCCAAGACCACCCCAAAGATCCCCAAGAAGGCCCGTACACCCCTTAAAAGAAACCCAAGAGGGCCACAAGAATGTCCCAAGTGACTCCGAGATGACCCGAAGAGAGACCCAAGATGGCTCCAAAAAACCTCTGGGGAAACGTTTCCAAGGCAATTGTTACACTGTTTGCTTTTACACTTTCTTGATGCAAACAACTCGCCTGGCGATCTGTTTCTGGATGGGCTGATGGGAATACGCAAAACGTCCATAAATGCCAAACACCATCCGCCGTGCTTTTTCTTTCACGACGCGAGGATGTCAGGGTACGCTCTCGCCCGCGCGAGACACCCGCTCACGATTGCTCTGGGCAGAAAAGCCGAGCCATGCGCAAACCCAGCGCGCGACATCCTTGCACCCTCGGGAGTCCAACGGCTTCGACACCACCCTCGAGATACGTCGAAAGGATGGGTTTCCCGGGATGTGGTGAATGACATACCTTCCCAAGCTGCGGCTGGCCGGAAAGATTGACCCAAGGAGAAGTCGTCTTCCCGCCTCCCGAACCGTCTTCGCGACGCGCGGCGTGTGCGGGCGAGAACGGGCCTCCCCTCGCCGGCGTGTCGTTGTGCCCACCGTCCTCGAACGTGTGCATCTCCAACACTGGTGGCGGGCGGGCACGGGCGCGAAATTTTAGCTGGTCGAACGCATAACTACGTTCTGCTCAGGATGTGAGAGGAGGAGGAGGAAGAGGACGAGGAAGACGAGGAGGAGGAGGCGGAGGCGGAGGAGGAGGAGGAGGACGAGGACAAGGAGGAGGTGGAAAAGGTGGAGAAGGAGGAGGAGGAGGAGGAGGAGGAGGAGGAGGGGGAAGAAAAGGAAAAGGAGGAGGAGGTGGAGGGGGAGGAGAAGAGAAGGAGGAAGAGGAGGAAGAGGTGGAGGTGGAGGCAAGAGGGTGGAGGGAGGAGCAAGGTGTGCGTGTGTGTGTGTGTGTGTGTGTGTGTGTGTGTGTGTGCGACGAAGGGCATGGCGTTCTGCGTGCTTCTTCCGGTAGCTGGGCCTGGTGGGTGGCGCACTTGGCCACACGGGGATCCACCACTTACGCCACCACCAGGCCTAGCACCCGAATCTGCAAACATCGAAGCCCCTCTCCCCGGCGATCTTGAGCCGCCCTCCAGCTGACCACAGCGCCCTAGCGGCGTGTTCCTGGTGCGTGCGGCGCTCCCGTCGGGAGCGAGCCTCCATTCTGTTAGCTTCTATCCGAGCGAGCTGCTCCTCGGACAGAGCCGTGGGGGGAGGAGGCGGGAAGGGGCGGACAACGACGAAGCCAAAGACCGAGGAGGAGGAGAGGGGGTAAGGGGGGCAACCTCCAGAGCTTATAGCTCTGGTGATGTACTGGCGACTGATGGAGCAACTGCAACAATCTCCGAACCAATTCGGGCCAACGCCCTCGGGGGGATCCAAGAAAACTCTTCCTCCCCATGCTCCGGAAAGAAAAGGTGAATTTCAGGGTCCATGCGTTTGGTCTCCTCAGGTCCTCCTCTGCCTTTGCGGTGTCCAGCGAAATCGGTGGCCAGGGCAAAATCTTGGTCGTAGTCTGGCGACCAAGGGACGTACACATACATGAGCTTATATGTGAGCTCGCGCTGGTCCATTTCGAAAGCGACATCGGCATCTACAAGTTCGCCCACAATCTGGGCAGCACTATCCAGGATGGCATCAGCTAGTTATGGCTTTGCACGAACTGCTCGGGTAAGTCTTCTTAGACTGATTCCGCCAAGACCCGTCTACTCTGCTGCCTAAGTACGAGCGTCACGCGTGCGTCTCTACCGTGCGAACAGCGTCCCTGGCCAGAAGTGTTGCGTGAGGGACTGCCAAGCTGCGGCATGCGCATGTTGATAATTCGAGTAGGATCCCTGCCTACGGTAGACCAGCCGGTGCCATGTGCCACATGTTCGCACTGATCGAAATCTGTCGAGCCTGCAACAGGAGACGAGACTCGAGCTACCAATGGGGGCCACCTCCATGAGGCGGGGCCGCGCGCGCCCAGGCGACATGGGTGGGGCGTTCCATCCCCCCCCGGCGCCCGCCCGCAAGTGTTCAGGGAGCATGAGAACGAGAGCCTGGGGGAGCTGGCCTCCGATTCTGAGCTGCTCCTGATGCTTGGGCGCACATCCTGGTATGCCCCGAGCGTGGTCCAGGGTCCGAAAAGGGGGGGGAAGGCCCTCTTGCCGCCTCGCAGCGCTCCAGGTTTAGCAGGCCCCCACCCGTCTTCAAAACTCTTCGGTCCCTCATCTGATCAATCCAGAAGCTGATGGTAGCGGCAGTCGCGAGGTCTCCCTTGTCAGCATCTATGGCAATGTCCAAAGAGAGGCAGGAGAGCTCCCAGTGGTGCGAGGGGCGGGCAGCCGGTGGATGCGACTGGGTGCCCCCAGGTCCTCCGTCTGCCTTTGCGGCGTCCAGCGAAATCGGTGGCCAGGGCAAAATCTTGGTCGTAGTCTGGCGACCAAGGGACGTACACATACATGAGCTTATATGTGAGCTCGCGCTGGTCCATTTCGAAAGCGACATCGGCATCTACAAGTTCGCCCACAATCTGGGCAGCACTATCCAGGATGGCATCAGCTAGTTATGGCTTTGCACGAACTGCTCGGGTAAGTCTTCTTAGACTGAGTCCGCCAAGACCCGTCTACTCTGCTGCCTAAGTACGAGCGTCACGCGTGCGTCTCTACCGTGCGAACAGCGTCCCTGGCCAGAAGTGTTGCGTGAGGGACTGCCAAGCTGCGGCATGCGCATGTTGATAATTCGAGTAGGATCCCTGCCTACGGTAGACCAGCCGGTGCCATGTGCCACATGTTCGCACTGATCGAAATCTGTCGAGCCTGCAACAGGAGACGAGACTCGAGCTACCAATGGGGGCCACCTCCATGAGGCGGGGCCGCGCGCGCCCAAGCGACACGGGCGGGGCGTTCCATCCCCCCCCGGCGCCCGCCCGCAAGTGTTCAGGGAGCATGAGAACGAGAGCCTGGGGGAGCTGGCCTCCGATTCTGAGCTGCTCCTGATGCTTGGGCGCACATCCTGGTATGCCCCGAGCGTGGTCCAGGGTCCGAAAAGGGGGGGGAAGGCCCTCTTGCCGCCTCGCAGCGCTCCAGGTTTAGCAGGCCCCCACCCGTCTTCAAAACTCTTCGGTCCCTCATCTGATCAATCCAGAAGCTGATGGTAGCGGCAGTCGCGAGGTCTCCCTTGTCAGCATCTATGGCAATGTCCAAAGAGAGGCAGGAGAGCTCCCAGTGGTGCGAGGGGCGGGCAGCCGGTGGATGCGACTGGGTGCCCCCAGGTCCTCCGTCTGCCTTTGCGGCGTCCAGCGAAATCGGTGGCCAGGGCAAAATCTTGGTCGTAGTCTGGCGACCAAGGGACGTACACATACATGAGCTTATATGTGAGCTCGCGCTGGTCCATTTCGAAAGCGACATCGGCATCTACAAGTTCGCCCACAATCTGGGCAGCACTATCCAGGATGGCATCAGCTAGTTATGGCTTTGCACAAACTGCTCGGGTAAGTCTTCTTAGACTGATTCCGCCAAGACCCGTCTACTCTGCTGCCTAAGTACGAGCATCACGCGTGCGTCTCTACCGTGCGAACAGCGTCCCTGGCCAGAAGTGTTGCGTGAGGGACTGCCAAGCTGCGGCATGCGCATGTTATAATTTCGAAATAGGAATCCCTGCCTACGGTAAGACCAGCCCGGTGCCATGTGCCACATGTTCGCACTGATCGAAATTCTGTCGAGCCTGCAACAGAGACGAGAACTCGAGCTACCAATGGGGGCCACCGCCATGGGCGGGGCCGCGCGCCGCCCAAGCGACCACTGGCGGGGGCGTGCCAACCCCACCCCCCCCCCCGTCGCCCGCCCTCAAGTGTTCAGGGCAATGATAACGAGAGCCTGGGGGACCTCCTGGCCTCCGATTCCTGAGCTGGCTCCTGATGCTTGGGCGCACATCCTGGTATGCCCCGAGCGGGTCCAGGGTCCCGAAAAGGGGGTGCCGGGCCGCTCTTGCCGCCTGCGCAGCGCTCCAGGTTTAGCAGGCGCCCCCCCCGTCTTCAACTCTTTCGTCCCTCACTGATATCCGAAATGAATGTCGCGGCAGCCGTGCGAGGACCCCCCCCCCCCCCCCCCCCGTCTCCCTTGTCTATTATGGCAATGTCCAAAGGAGAGGCAGGAAAGCTCCCATGGTGCGGGGCGGGCAGCCGGTGGGATGCGACTGGGTGGCCCCCCGGTCCTCCTCTGCCTTGGTGCGTCCCAGCGAAATCGGTGGCCAGGGCAAAATCTTGGTCGTAGTCTGGCGACCAAGGGACGTACACATACATGAGCTTATATGTGAGCTCGCGCTGGTCCATTTCTGGGTGCGGCATCTCCTCCGTCTGCCTTTGCGGCGTCCAGCGAAATCGGTGGCCAGGGCAAAATCTTGGTCGTAGTCTGGCGACCAAGGGACGTACACATACATGAGCTTATATGTGAGCTCGCGCTGGTCCATTTCGACAGCGACATCGGCATCTACAAGTTCGCCCACAATCTGGGCAGCACTATCCAGGATGGCATCAGCTAGTTATGGCTTTGCACAAACTGCTCGGGTAAGTCTTCTTGAACTGAGTCCGCCAAGACCCGTCTACTCTGCTGCCTAAGTACGAGCATCACGCGTGCGTCTCTACCGTGCGAACAGCGTCCCTGGCCAGAAGTGTTGCGTGAGGGACTGCCAAGCTGCGGCATGCGCATGTTGATGATTCGAGTAGGATCCCTGCCTACGGTAGACCAGCCGGTGCCATGTGCCACATGTTCGCACTGATCAAAATCTGTCGAGCCTGCAACAGGAGACGAGACTCGAGCTACCAATGGGGGCCACCTCCATGAGGCGGGGCCGCGCGCGCCCAGGCGACATGGGTGGGGCGTTCCATCCCCCCCCCGGCGCCCGCCCGCAAGTGTTCAGGGAGCATGAGAGCGAGAGCCTGGGGGACCTGGCCTCCGATTCTGAGCTGCTCCTGATGCTTGGGCGCACATCCTGGTATGCCCCGAGCGTGGTCCAGGGTCCGAAAAGGGGGAGGGAAGGCCCTCTTGCCGCCTCGCAGCGCTCCAGGTTTAGCAGGCCCCCCCCCGTGTTCAAAACTCTTCGGTCCCTCATCTGATCAATCCAGAAGCTGATGGTAGCGGCAGTCGCGAGGTCTCCCTTGTCAGCATCTATGGCAATGTCCAAAGAGAGGCAGGAGAGCTCCCAGTGGTGCGAGGGGCGGGCAGCCGGTGGATGCGACTGGGTGCCCCCAGGTCCTCCGTCTGCCTTTGCGGCGTCCAGCGAAATCGGTGGCCAGGGCAAAATCTTGGTCGTAGTCTGGCGACCAAGGGACGTACACATACATGAGCTTATATGTGAGCTCGCGCTGGTCCATTTCGAAAGCGACATCGGCATCTACAAGTTCGCCCACAATCTGGGCAGCACTATCCAGGATGGCATCAGCTAATTATGGCTTTGCACAAACTGCTCGGGTAAGTCTTCTTAGACTGAGTCCGCCAAGACCCGTCTACTCTGCTGCCTAAGTACGAGCGTCACGCGTGCGTCTCTACCGTGCGAACAGCGTCCCTGGCCAGAAGTGTTGCGTGAGGGACTGCCAAGCT